CTGACGCCTCTGTCAGAGGCGTCAGGCCTGGGCAAGGGGCCGATCCTGCGATTGGAGGGTGATGGGGGTCAACACCTGAGGGCTCCCAGTATGTGAGAGGGGGCAGGCTGGGCTGAGGGACACTCCTCCCCCATACCCAGTGCACGAATTTTGTGCACCGGGCCCCTAGTCTCTATATTATACACAAGTGTATGTGAATGATTCAGCAACTTAGATGAAATGAATAAATTTTTTGGAAAAAAAAACACCCAACAACACCCAAAAAATCACCAAAATTGAAGTAAGAAGTAGAAAGTCCGAATACTCTGTGTCTAATAGAAGATTGACTTCAATATCCACAGACACCTAACAGAGAGACTCAGGTCCCATGGGTCACGTCTAAGGAAGGGATGACCGGGTCTTATTTAGGCTCCTTCAGAAACAAGGGGGGTGGGGTACCCCCGACGCAGTTTGAGATTGGTATTCAAACCAGGCAAGGACATTAAAAATGTAAATTCCCTGACATTCTCCCCCATGAACACAGATACCACATCTCTGACACGTAGGACTTCACGAAAAAGATTAAACAAGAGTGCGGTGGGGCTCGCTCTGCTCAAGCCTGTGATCCCCATCGTTGGCCCCGTGGCTCAGGCCAGCTCACAGATGTCCCCCTGGCAGCCGGGTGGGGGGAGAGGGGCCACATTGCTAAGCTGTGGAGCTGGGGGACAGTGTGCCCTGGCCCATTCAGTGCTGTCGCATGCTCTCCTTTCCCGATGGCTGCAGACTGTCCCTGGGGACCAACATGTTCTGCAGCGAGTGGAGCTCTAGAGGCGGCCGGGCCCTGGGCAGGTACAGTCCCTCCCGACTCGGGCAGTGTGTCCCATGGGCCACTGCCCACTGGGTGCTGGAGAGGTGCTGACCTGCCCCGTGGCCCAAGCCTTCCTGGCCGTGCGTTCTGCAGGGTGAAGCACTCAGGGCCCTCCATCACCTCTGGCCAGGCCCTCTCTTGCCTTTATTCTGCTTTTTCCCTGAGTATTCCAGCTCAAGTCACTCCAAGCCCTTGAGCCCTCAGGACAGGGGCTGAGCACAGCTCCTGGGCACAGCACAGGCTCAGACAGCAGAGGGCGCTGGAGGCCTGGGCAGCTAATCTTGCTGCAGCCGCTGGGTGGTGGTCAGAGGTGTGGAGCCTCCAGCCCCCTCCAGTGATCTCTTCCTGGTGGAGGTGGCCCCTCTGCACCAGCCTCACGTGCCCCTGGGCTCCAGCCACGTCCTCTGCAGTGAGGTCTGCACCAGCCTTGGGGGCCCCCAGGTCAGAGCCCCTCTCCTGTGCTCATGTGACCCTGGACCCCACTTGGATCTCGGTGGGGTTTCTGTTTTGTTCCCACTGACACAGCCCCTAGCGGAGCCCAGACCCATCAGAACCATGGGCTTCATGCGCTCCCTGTCTCCGCACAACCCAGCAGGAGCTCCCCTGACCGTAGGGTCGGGCAGCCTCCTCCTTCTGTCAGGGCACAGTTTCTAGAAAGAACCAGTGAATCTGCATCTTGATGAAACTCCAACTACTGCCCAACAGCGTCCTTGGACACCCACAGGGTGAGGACGTGCAGCCACGTGGGAGGGAGAAAGAGCGTGGGGTACTTGCTGACTGGCCGTGGGGTCACCGCGGGGCAGCACAGGAGCCAGGGCTGGCCCTGGGCACAGGGACTCTTGGTCTCAGGTCATCGGGGGGAGGGGAGGGTGTCTGATCAGTAAGTGGGTGGGGTGACATTCCCGTGTGAGAACGCGGAGTCGGTCCCTGCTGTGAGCACCGCTGTCCCCTGCAGTGTGTGGACATCCTGAGACAAGCCTTTCACCCGTGACTTCGAAGCTATCCCGCCACCGCGGTCTCACTCTGACATCGCCGCACGTTCCCTAGGCTGCCCTCCATGGCTCGTGATGACGGCACCTGCCTAGACTGGTAATTAGTCTTCGTGGAGAAAGCTGCGAGTCCGAAGCCACTGAGCCCCAGATGAAGGGCCAGGGTGCAGTCACCTTGAAACTGGCAATTCCAGCAACTGAGCTGCCTCGGTTTCCCCCGCGAATGAGTAGGTATCTTAACTCAGAGACCCGTGAATAACTGAGGCCGCTTACTGACTCCCCATTGGAGCCGTGTGCACCACGGCCCACCCACGGCGTGGAGCTCAGCAACACTGGACTGACACACTAGCCCAAGACCTGCTGGCCAGGCTCTAGCCCCAGCTCACTCCTGCCCCCGAACCACCACCCAGCACCCCCACACCCTGGCCGCATCATCCTAGGGCCCCAAGTTTCCTTGTGAGCCACTTTGCCTAGATCCCAGCATCAGGTGCAGGACTCCCGGAGCCTGGGGGATGGGCGGTACCTGAGCAGGGGCTGCTGGGAGTACGGTGGCTGGTCTGGGCCTGGGCAGGGTGGGACCTTCTTGGTCACCTGCTTGTAGATGTTCCTGGCGGTCACGGCGATCCACAGCATGGTGGAGAGTGTGCAGTAATGCAGCACGATGCCCACCTGGGGGGCGGGGGAGACAGGTCAGTAGCCGCCCGCCAGTGCACTGACCTCCCCACTGCACGTCCCAGAGCCGCCCAGCCCTCCCGCTCCCCTGCGTCCTCAGGAGGCAGCTCAGCAGGACAAGAAACGAGGCTGCCGGAGGCCCCAGGGTCCTTGGTTCCAGCAACGCTGCTCTTCACAGGGGTCTCTGAGCTCAGGGGAGATGCCTGGGCTGCAAAGAAGCCTTGCAGGTATGTTAGCCCAAAGCAGCTCGGCTGTCCTGCAGAGGGCCCGGCTGGGAGCCCGTGGGCCTCTGGGTGTGGTCCACCTGGGGCCGGCTGAGCAGCACGCACACCATCCTGCACATGGGGCCTGTGTGCACGGGTCCCTGTGGTGGGTGTGGCCCAGGCAGGCACACGGAGAGCTCCAGGTGCTGGGCCCTCCGCACACAGGAGCCCACCGGGTGAGGTGGTGTGGTGCGCAGCAGGGGGCTCCCAGATGCCGGTGTTTTGGGCACTGCCGGTGAGATCAGCGCCTTCTGGGTCAGACGCTCAAGTCCGATCCCTGTCAGTCGGAGTTGCTTGTTACTATGGGAACAGAGCCAGGTTCCTCCCATCACCAGCACTGCATGAGCTAATCACGCAATCCACGCTCTGTCTCCACCCGGTTCTAGAGAAGGAGGTTACCTTTGAAGTAATAACCTGACACTTGGCAATGACAAGTAAAATATGGCTATAATGGGAGAGGACATAAATGTTTAAGGAACACAGAGATTCTCTGAGTAAAGCTAGCATTGCACCATCATAATGATTTATCAAGTGCAGCGTTCAGTTTTACTTATGAGAAAACTCTATAATAATTGATGAGAACATCGAGGAGGCGGGCGAATCCCAGAATTGTAGTTAGGGTTTGGGATGGGCTCGTGCACGTGGGTGAGTCCAGCCTCTTCCTCGGCCTGCCCTCCATTGGCTTCAGCTGCATCCTACGCACCGGGCTTTACCCCACCTGGCGGGCGGGGGCGGCGCTGGGAAGCCAGGGGACCAGCTCGGCAGCAGGAGATGCAGGGCGGGGAGTCACATCACCTGGCCCTCAACTGAAGGACAGTCTGACTTTCTTTTCAGGAAGAAACGGAGACACGTCCTCAGAGGCGAGGAGGGCAGGGAGTACCCAGAGCTGGGAGGTGAGTGTGGAGGAGGAGGTGGGACTGAGCCTCATCCTGACCGCAGGTGGGGGGATTTTCTGAGCCTGTGGACGGCAGAACTCTGTCTTCCAAACACCGACGCAGGCTGGACACAGGGAGAGGTCACGGGGACCCCGCCCTGGCTCTCAGACAGCCGTCTACCGCCTCCCCACGCTCCTGGGCCCGGCACATCTATTATGTGAGGACAACGCTGGCCGTCTGTCTGTGACCATGATGTCACTTTGTACTTTCATGAGGCGCACGGTCATTTTTTGTTGCCATGACAACCGGCTGTTCTCTCTGCCATTCGGAGCTTGGACCACTTCTCATACATCACTCACTGTCACCCAGAGCGACACTGGTCAGGGAAGGCTGGCCAGAGGGTCCTGTGTCGGGCACCAGGGTCGTGTGTAGGTGTCACTGGTCAAAGTGGGGGCCAGCCTGGCTGCCTATAATGAATTGGCTCATGTAATTAGGGAGCCCGCGGAAGCCCCAGGTCTGCAGTGGGCAAGCTGGAGAACCAGGAGAATGGTGATGTAATTCAGCCTGTCTGCATCTAAAGGCCGGAGACCGAGGTCTTTCTCACTCAGACTTCTACTTATTCAGACCCCAGCAGTTGGACGAGGCCACCGATACCACGGACGGCCCTCCACTCCACTTGCCTCATCCCAAACACCGTCCCAGACACACCCAGAATCATGTGTGACATGTCTGGGTGCCCGGGAACCCATCAAAGGGACACATGAAGTAGCCATCACCTCTCCCTGTGCCTCCTGGTCTCCTGCGGTGAGTGGAGGAGGGACCCCAGTCAGGTGAGCCTGGCCTTGCCTCTGCTCTGCATCTCATTTTCCCTGACACGCCGGGCAGGTTACTGCTATCCAGACACCACTGGAAGGCAGATCCACACAGCGGGGGAACCGGTAGGTTTGATCTCAGCTGCACCCCCAGCACCCACAGGCACCCAGTGCATTTTTGTGAATGAATAAGTGAATGAGTGAATGAATGAATGATGCCCTGATACATTCCGGCAAGATCAGGACAGCATCTGCTGCGGAGAGCAGGGCTGGCTGCCTCTGCTGGGGCCCTAAGGTTGTCACTACGAGAGAATCGAGCGTTTCTCACACTAACAGGATTTCTACAGGTCTTACCTCTGTGGATGTTTCTAGGTCATATCTGCCCCCACCTACTGTGCACCCCGGCCAGGCCCTGGGTGCCATGAGGGTGGCTAGCAGACACAGATGGCGCCCAGAATTTAGGGGGCCAGGGCTCCCCAGTACCATGATTACTGGGCCTCTGAGGGGTGGGGGTGGCCGTACCACCGTGATTCTGGCGGCTCCTCCTCACTGGGCCTGGCTCGTGGCGCTCACGTGGAGAAGTGCGGACATAGAGGTAACAATCCGTGCCTCGTGTCTGGATGGCTCCGCTCCCCGGTAGCACTGCAGGCGGAGCGTAAATTGGATTTCCTGGGGCGCTCGCCTCAGCGGTTTCCACGCTGTGGAAAGGCGAGAGGAGGCGGGCCTGCCCCTCATTGTGCTGTGCGTGTTTGTGATGGGCGGCTCATCTTGACATCGAGTCACAGAAAAGTGGTGTCTCTTTCACCAGGAGCCTAGGGGCTGGGCCCTGGGTGCCAAGGCTCTGGAGCAGGTGCTGTCTCATGGGCCTGATGCCTCCCTTGCGTGCAGGTGGGTGTGGAGAACGAGAGCTAACAGCCCGATTATTCCCTGAGGTCCCCCTGTGGGAGCAGCATCTCACCTACCGGTCCCCAGGGTGAGTCTGTGCATGTGGACAGGTCACCTGTGTGGACAGACAGCCACCGAGGTCAGCACCAGTGCACCAGGTCCCAGGTGGTGAGGCTGTGGCAGCACAGCCATCGATGAATGGCTTCACAGCAACCAAGGCTGTAAGGCGAGCAGCGTGACATCCCCATGGGTGCTGCTGCCAGAGCTCCCTCCACGTGGCCCGGGCGGGTGTGCCCACGAAGTGACAGAACCGAAGGGGTGGTCCTTGGAGGGATGCTCTGTGGGTTGGGAAAGGGCCTCTTCTGAGCCCTGTCAGGAGCCGAAGGGTCGTTTAAGTTTTTCCCGAGAGGGGGCAGGGCGACTCCGCCGTGGCCTCCACACGTGTCTCTGTGGCCTGCACTCCGTGGCAGCCCGCTGGTGACAGTTTCTGCTGCCTGATTATGAGTCTTGGCATTAGCATCCTGGGATTCTTACTTGGATGGGGAAGCAGGTGGCTTGTCCCCTGCTCCTGCCCACCAGCCTCTGCAGGGCTGGTCCCCGCTCCCGGACAAGCCCTGTTTGTGGGACAGTGGACTTCTCATCAGCCTGTCGCCACCACAGGCCTCAGAGCAAATTGTTCCAAGTGAAAAATACATCCTATATATCAAAAGCCCAATATGCAAATCGACCAAACAGCGGAACGACCGATCGCTATGATGTGCACTGACCACCAGGGGGCAGATGTTCAACGCAGGGCTCACGGCTGGTGAGTGTAGCTCTCCTGCCTCTGCAGTAGCGCTAAGGAGCAGCCAGCCGAGCGGTAAGGAGGACTGAGCGGTAAGGAGTGAGGGCTCCCAGACTGGGAGAGGGTGCAGGCTGGGCTGAGGGACCCCCCCACACAAATTTCATGCATTGGGCCTCTAGTTATTTATATGATGGAATACGGAGCAAAGTAACTAGACTCACCTGGGTCTGCAACATGGACACACTGGATGCTGGACCATTCCTTTCATGCGAAACACACGAACAGATACTCAAATATGATTCCATACACAAGACAATGATCACAAACTTCCCCTTTGGCCGGAGAGGTGATGGACCCTAAGGAAGACGCAGGTGAAGGAAGACTCACCGCCTGGCACAGGATGGGGTACTTGGTGCGGTTGATGCCCCCGGCGAACACGGTGAAGGTCAGGGCTGCGTGCAGGCAGAAGTTCAGGAGCGTGTGCCTGCCCTTGCGGCTGATCCGGATAGCGCTGGGGAAACACAGGTGTGTCGTCAGGAACCTGCCCCTCAGCAGAGTGGGTGTGAGCCCTTTACCTGCATCTGTCCATGTGAGAACTGGGGAGACCTCTGGGCAGAGAGACACACCCCAAGGACCAGGTCAAGGGAAAGACGGACAGACCGTGCGGAGTCCACCCTCAGCGTGTGGCTGGTGGGGTTCGGTGTTAAATGCCCTGGAGCACGAGGCCTGGAAGTGTTTTTGAGAAATCTCTGATAACCTTGAGAGGAGGCCGTGACAGTGACCAACTACACGGCGACCCCTGTCGCCACGCGGGCACTGGACTCCGACGCTGCCTATGGCTGTGCCCACACCTCATCCCTGGCTACGGCCACGACTGTGATTCCCTAGCTATGCTGACAGCTGTGCCTGTGGCCACAGCCCTCCGTGGCCGTATTCCCACCCCACGTCTCTTCCCATGACGGTGGTTCTGTGGTTATGCCACGGCTTTGCCCATGACTCGCCTTGTGGGCTGAACCCTGACCATGGCCGAGACTCCTCCTCACATTCCCCAGGGCATCCTCGAGTGATGGGGACACAGCCAGGTCATCTCCTCACTCCCAGGCAGAGGAAACCAGCTCAGAAGAGACCTGACTAGACTCTCTTTTCTAGAAAAAAAATGCAGACGTGCCTGAGGGTCTGCCAGCTGCTCCAACTTCCCAAGGACATGGGCCCTCGGGCGCCTGAGCAGACGCTGTGCTGTTGGAGGAAGAACTTACTTCACCGGATTTGATAAGAACATGGACACCGGGGATGGAGGGGCACGGCTGTCCCTGACCGTCAGCGAACCTCGGTCACCCCCAGGGCCACCCAGGCCGGGCAGGCTCCAGCTGGCCGGCCATCTGTGAAGTGCCTTCCAGGGGCTTTTTGCTCCGTGAGGGTAGGAGTCTCACTTTGGGGTTTGCACTAGGCGGCGAGGCGGGGCGTCTCAGGACAGAGTAGGGCCTCACCTCTGGTGCATGAGGTAGGTGATGACGGAGGCGAGGAGGCAGAGCAGCATGACGGCCGTGCAGGCGTACACCACGGGGTGCAGGAACTCCCCTGGGTGCTGGGGCAGGGAGAGGACACTCTTCAAATCCTGGAAGGAACACAGAGCAGAGCCAGGTGAGCAACGCGGCTGAGAACCTGCACGTGTGGCAGAGCCACGGGGGCTCTCCCCGAGCCCAGCCCCTCCCGGCAAGTCCCTGGTGGCATTCTCTGAATCAGGGGACCTTTGCCGGGTCTCAGCAGAAGGAGGCACCCTGCCAGGGAAGACCCTGCTCAGGTGAGTGCTCAGCAGGCGGAGCCACGCCTCATGGGCTGCCCACGAGTGGCTTCAGCCTGTAGGGGCGGCCCAGCTGGCCATCTTCATGGGGCTCCGACAGCTCTCGGTGGGTTTCCCCGTGGCTGATCCCATCAGCTGCTGCCTTGACAGCAGAGAGACCTCACATAAAAGCCAGTGGGTGCCAGGGGGACTCTTCGTGGTCTGACCACCAAGGGGCCTGGTCGGCAATTGAGGCCAGAAATAGCGCCCTGGCCCAGAATAAGAAGATGACCAGACGTGACAGAGGGAGGGTGCTGTGACACTCCACAGACCGCGGGTCGGACACCACAGTGGCACCCATGCTTTGGTCCACAATGTCCATAGACTGGACGTCTGAAGGGCAGGTGTGCACATGCACAGAACAGCAATGACTCCCATCAGCCTGGCATGGGCTCCAGCAGGACACATGCTGTGCCCTCGTCCAAATCCCCACTAAACCGTGAGCTCAGGAATAAGGCAGCCAAGAGGTGCCAGCCTCAAGGTAACAGGGACACCCCGGCTGCAGCAGCGGCACTACTCAAGATGCAGAGACATTTCGTAAGGGTGCGCCCAGGCTGGGTTCACAGGCGGGAGGTCAACCCGCCCTCGGGGGCTTCCCCCTCCTCTGAGGGCCCAGGGTTGAGGCTCCCCTGGTGCTGAGGACTGACCCCGAGCAGCGGCAGCCACCGTGGGTGTTTATAAGAAACAGTCAGTTCCCTTTGGCCTCCTCTTTTTTCCTTTCTCCAAATCAGAGTTCTCAACGGTGCCTTTCTACATTTTTAGAGGTGACATTTAAAATTCAAAGCAGGCAAAGCAAAACGGAGACATGCTTTATCTTTTAAAGTTCACACATGTACAAGTTCCTCCTGGAGGAATCGACTTTGCAAGCGTTCCACAAGCAGGTCCTGACGGTTGTTGGTATGTGGTGAGCACAGCTAGACCGACGTCCCTGGACAAGTCCCCCTAGGCCAGGGCCCCAGCAGTGCCCTTTGGAGCAGCAACCGTGGGCAGAGCCCTGACCTCACAGCAGAAAGGCTAGGGAGCCCCGAGGGGAGGATGAGGGACCCCACCCTCTCACTCCCATGGCGGCGGGAGCTGTGATTCCTGGTCACTTCTGGGCCTGCAGGGCCAGGAGCTGTCTCCTCCGAGGCTACCGGCTTGCATCCTCCCAGGCGGCCTCTTTTCTCTGTGGAGCTCAGGCCTGGACTGCGGGTTTGTTTGCATTTCCCATTTCTTGAGGCATGAGTGCCTCTTACATGATGTTATTCTTAGTTGCGTGTGTCCTTTTGGTATGTTCTGCAAACCAAATAAATCGGGACGTTAAGAGCAAGAGGAAAGGAGGAGGGGGTCAGTCAGGTCGCGTGCCACTTGTCTGATCAAAACATCACCCTTTAGTTGAGAGTGACACGTGCCCAAGGGGCCTGTGCCAGCCGCGGACGCAGACCTATGTGTGTGCAGACCGTGTGCGCGCCCCGTCCTCTCGGCGAGGCGTCCACGGGCCGGGGGCATGTGGGACGTCCTTCCTTGTGGTTCTGTTCCGACCGAGGCTGATTTCATTAGCGCCTGCTGTCCCTTGTCGCCTTTTTAATGATAATTGCATCTTATTGATCTGTCAACCTTTCATCAAAGTGTTCCCGGGGGAGAGGCAGAGGAAAAAGATAAGTAATTTATTCATTCGGAGCACAAATTACCCTAATTGGACGTTGCATTTACATGTTTGTTACGTTTCCTTTTGGAGGCGTGTGGGCTGGTCGGCTTCAGAGAGCTTCGGAGAGAACAGTGGGAAGCGTCTCGGGGACGCGCCTTCTGACCGGGCGTCACTGCTTAAGGGGGTGACACTCTCCAGTTGCGGACGGAAGGCTGTTTCAGGAGTGTTTAGAAGTGTAAATAGCGGACAGAATTGAAAGCACAAATGGAGAGCCCTCACTGAAGCCAAGTGTCTGCAGCACCCACGCTGCTCTTCTAGGCGAGGCTGGAGGTGCCGGCCTGTGGGCGGGGTGGGGTGGGGGGGAGGTTCCCGAGCTTGGCCTGGAGGACGCGTTTGGAGTGGGAGCGACCCCCTGCACCTGCGGACCGACTGGCGACTGGGCGGCTGAGCGCTGGGAGCGTCCTGAGCGGCACTGGGCCCAGGTCCTCGGCTCGGACAACAGGCAGTTCCCTCCCTGTTCGCCTCCCCAGCACCCTGCCTGGTGTCTACCCCGATCTCTTTGGGAGTTTTAATTCCCTTGTTGGAATGAGGGGTATAGCTGTGGGGGAAAAGGGCATTGTGAGCGTGCCGCGTGTCTCTACTCCAAGCACGGCCGGGGCGGGACTGGCCTCTCGCCCTGTCCTGGCTTCAGGGCTCTTCGGGACGTCCCCGAGCATGCTCCAAGGACACTGATTCCAGCCCTGAATTCAGAGCATGTGGGGGGCTCTGCCGGGGTGTGCACGAGAGCCCCAGCCCTCCTGATGTGGCGCCTCCTGGGCCAGGACCATCCCGAATGACCGAGTGGCCTTTGTGCCACTGGGACCTGCAGGTCAGTGACGGGAGCTCACCCTCCGCACGACCTGATGCTACTGTGACTGGAGGTGCCAGCAGGCGGCTGGACCACCCACGCCAGGCCTCTCTCTGCAGCCACTGCCCCCCAGAGTGCAGGGGCTGAGACCTCAGAGCCCTCAGCCGGGCCACCGACACTGCTCCTCCTGTGGCTCCTCTGGAAGGAGACAGACAGTGCAAAGGATTGGACAACCTTTTACTCTACTTCCAAAGCCGGCCACTTTGTTCCCTGAGGAGAGGCGGTCCCCTAGCTCAGGGTGAAGGTCACCGAAGATTACAGGACACAAAGCAATGAGCACGTGGAACCTGCTTGCATTGGGATCCCAACCGCAGCAGCCAGGGACAGGCCAGCCCACGCCTGCTTCGTGGACTAGCAGTTGTGATGAAGATGTGGGGTGGCGGCGGCCTGGGCTTCGGGTGCCAGACACAGGCCTCCCGGGGCAGCACCTGGGTATTCAGACCCTGTCTGAGCGCTGGACAGACAGCAGCACCTCCTGGCACCATTCTGAAAGGAGGCATGGGCCCAGGAAGCCTGCCCAGAGACGCCTGGAACTCAGTGCAATTGAACTTCAGTGTGTGGCCGAGGAAACATGGGATCCAGGAGGCAGCTTGATGCCCGCAGGTGTTAGGGAGGCCCGGGCCCCGCAGGAGCTGCACGTGTGGCCAGAGGGCGGCAGTGGGGGACAGACAGGGGCAGGCCACCCTGTTGCTGGGCCTTCAGGCTTCCCTCCGATGCCCTGAGCCACAGGGTGAGCCTGCCCAGCTGTCTGCACCACAGACTCAGACACACACAGAAAGATGCTCTCACCTGAACTGTGACCCTGCATGCGAGGCCGGGCATCCTCCTTTCAGAAACTCTCTCCAGTGTAAATGTTATTTATTAAGACAAAACCCCAACAAACTGCTGAGCCCCAATTGCTGTGGGCAAGGCTAACCGGGCGGTTTTCAGTGTTGGATGGGCCGGCGTTCTGGCCGAGACCAAGGCACCACGGGCCGACCCCGCCCCTGAAATGGAGAGCGAGTGTTTGGAAGGGCCGAAGCATCAGAGAGGAGGCAAGGACAGGCAGCGGTCACCTGTGGTGGCCCTGAAGGGCAGTGCTGGGCACCTGCCAGCTCACCTGCCCTCCACCAGTGACACGTTCCATTGGCACCTGGGGATCTACATTTGAGGAAGGAAAGCTGGGGATGCTGCCACCCGGGAGGCCACAGCCATGTTGGGTGTGGCACCTTCGGGCAACAAGTGAGCTGGTGGGAAGCCGGGGGCCGGGCCAGGCAGCCCGCCTCTCTGAGGAGCATCCTGTGCCCAAAACACGCAACCTCTCGGCTGTCTGAAAGGCAAGTGCCTGGCGTCCGTCCAGCTTCCGAGGCCCGGGGCAGCCTGGGAGGGAGGCTGAATTCCGGAGAACAGCATCTCTCTCATTCGGACATTTCTAACGAAGAGAAAATGAACAGGCGACTCAGACTGACCACTCCTGAGGAAGCAGACCACCCGGTCTGCATTTGGGACCCATTGTTGGGGTCGGTGCCACGGCCGCTGCTGGCTGCACTGTCCTCTGGTCATCAGCATTCCCTGCACGTGCTCTGCCGGCTGTCACACACACACACACACACACACACACACACACACACACTGCATTATTCACTCAGCATCAACCTTCCGGAGTCCGAACTGGCAGCCGCCACAGCGAGGCACACACGAGTCCGCAGGCTGAGCCCCCCACATCCCCGGGCTGCTCACAGCAGCCGCCCCCCTTTGCTGGCGAGAGAAACACCCCCGTGTTTGCTGTACGTGCTGCTGAAGCCCACCCACGTCCCCCTGTGGTCCTGCCAACTTTCTGCAGGCAAGAGGAGGGCAGAGCTGCAGTGGGAGGGACCCGGGCCGGAGGCCAGGGAAGGTGCTCAGAGGCCCTGGAGCCGACCGGGGTGGGGGCGCGAGGCGGACGTCTCCTCCACCGATGAAATGATTCAACATTGCGGCATGCCATCAACTAATTAGTATGGTCCTCCCGAGCAGCCAGGCAGGCGGCCTGGAAACAAACGGCCACCCCCTGCCCTCAGCCCCCTCCCCCGCCCCCAGGACTCTTGGGCACAGGCACAGCGTATGCCTGGCTGTGGGCTAGCTGACCACCTGACGACTCAGTTTCCTGGCTGGGGCCTCTGTGCACAGGGTGGCCACCCTCGACGTGGCCCCCCCTGGCCCCTGAGCATGTGGACTCACCATGAGCACGTGAAGTTACTGAAGGGTGGGCGCCCCGGATGCAGATGGTGTCCCCGTTAGCCAACTATGTCGCGCCTTTCTCCCCGCCAGCCTCCATGGCCCTCCAGAAGGTCAAGGTCCCAAACAGCGGCCACAGGGTCAAGCCCCAGGCTACGGGCCTCAGGGCGACTCTGGTGGGGCAGGTGAGGGTGGAGAGGCTGCACCCACCTGTGAAGACAGGGCCTGGTCAGGGCAGGGGAGGGTCCCCCTGCCGCCCTCTCCCCCCACAGCCCCAGCACCTCCCAGAGTTGCCCCATCTCAGCTGCTCTCAGCCCAGCCAGCCTGTGGACTCTGACTCCGGCCTCCATTTGCCAGGGGCATGCCGAGGGTCCGGGGACCACCTGGGCTTGGGAGCCTGAGGGGCCCTGGCCAAAGGCACTGGCAGCCAGCCTGCCCTCCGGGGAGCACTCCCTTCTGCACATTTAAAAAGCAACCCATGCTCGCCACCCAGCACAGGAAACTAAACTCACTGAGCTGGATAACAAGTCTGTCAGCTTAAGTCAAGAGAATCCAGTAAACCTTGAATGCATCTCCTACAGAACAGCCAGCCCCTGGCAGGTGGATGTAGCTGGACTCAGGGGCTGGCTGTTTGCCCCCCACACAGACACAGATTTTGGCTGTGGCTCGGTGCCCTCAGCTTAACCCAAAGTTATTGGGAATCTGCATTTCCAGGAGCAGGAATCGCCTCACCCGGATTGGCACTGATGCCCGGAGAAACGGTGGAGAACGGGCTCTGTGGGCAGCGGGCTCCCACCTTGCCTCCCCCACCTCCTGCTGCTTCCCGGCCCTCAGGTCCACCCACTGCTCAGACCCTGAGACGTGATACCCAACTTCTCACCTATTTTGGCAAAAACAGCTGGAGGGGCAACAGCACAGTGCCTGTTGCCGGGGAGCCACCGCGAGCTCGCTGTGCAGGGGAGCAGGTCTCCATTCCCGGGGCCCGTGCGCCCCGCTCGCCGGCAGAGTTATCAACAGATTGCAGGACTGCAGCCGGGGACGTGAGTCAGAGCCAGGACGGCAGACATGCAGCGCGATTCTCAGCACGCAGCTTCCAGAACTCGGGCGAGGAACGCCAGCCGCCTCTGCGCTTGCTTCCGCCGGTGACAGCCAGGGAAGAGGACCGGCGGGAAGCAGGAGCCGTAACCATGGGGATGGGGGAGGCGGATGGCGGCGCTGTGGCCGGCTCCCTGCCGCAGGCTGGGAATGGTTCTTCCCGTGCCCATCACACTGCAGAGCCGATTTAAAGAGACAACCGGCCAGGCTTTGCCTTCGCTCCCAGCAGTGTCGGACAACTCACCTGAAAACGTCTCCCTGAGCCGAGGCAGGAGGACTGGCGATTTTATTTAAAGAAAAAAACTCTGTCCGTGGAGGGCTCCACAAACAGAAATGTGACCAGGAAATCGATTTAGGAGGAATTTTCATAGTCCTTGTGTTAAAACATCACGAATCCAAACATGTGCAGACAGAGGTGTACCCACAATGAGTCCTCCCGGCGTGAGTCAGCGATCCTGCTGGTGTGCACAGCCCCACAGCCCCTGCCCCTTCCAGGCCCCAGGCCCCAGCCCCCAGCCCCAATCCCCAGACAGAGCAGGGCCAGGGGAGGGAGGAGTTGGACCCGCCCGAGCTTCCGGGTCTGTACTCAGCTCATGGGAACCTGGAGGGGAGCCCATCACCTTCCCTTCAATCTAGAAGGTTGTAACCCCGCTCAGGGGTCCCAGGTCCCTGCTGTCCCCAAATTTTGAGGAGCCTGATTTTATTTTATTTTTGTTTAAAAATTTTTTCATTTATTTCAGAGAGGAAGGGAGAGGGAGAGCGAGCTAGAAACATCAATGATGAGAGAGAATCATTGATCGGCTGCCTCCTGCAGGCCCCACACTGGGGATAGAGCCCACAACTCAGGCCTGTGCCCTGACGGGGAATCAAACCGTGACCTCCTGGCTCATAGGGTGACATTCAACCACTGAGCCACCCAGCCAGGCTGAGGGGCCTGATTTTAATGGTGTCATTAAGAATATAGGAATTAGAGGGGTTTTGTGCTCCGGCTCCTCGGCCTCATGGCACCCTGCCTCTGAGTGGGGTGCTGCCAACGCTTCTCTGTGGAACTCTGAGATAAGTCCTAAACCTCAGGTGAAGGCCTGAACCCCAGGGGTGAAGTGCCTTTCCTGGTGCCCAGGGAGTGGGTGTTAGCGGGGAACTTCCTAGGCTGGTTCCCCAGGCCTGTGGGGCAGTTGGAGCTCCCTGGGGGCCCCGGACTGGGGACAAGAGGGGCAGGGAGGGAGGTGGGGAACCCACTCTGAACTAGGGGATTTTGCCCAGACTCCCCCAGCGGGGATGGTCACCATGGTGCTTCTGCCCTGATGTCCCATCCACTGCCGCCCCCTCCATCAAGACTGTCCAGGTACAGGGTGCAAGGTGAACGGGTCAACCCCTCACTGCCCTCAGGGCTCCCCGCCCAGAGATGGCAGAAAGCCAGGAGTGAATAGCCCACAGGGACTCAGCTCCCCAGGACCGCAGGCGCAGCTTGGAGGAGGGGACAGGTGCTAGGGCAGCTACCTGGGACTCTGCGGTCACCAGCTATTCCCTCTGCCCTGTGCACAGCATTGTGTGCTGTCCTGGCCTCAGAGCAGGGGGCCAGGACCAGAACCAGGGCTTCCCAAATCCCGCAGAAGTGGCTCTGGGAACACACACAGAAGAGGCTGTTAGGAGGGTAAGGGGGGCAGCTTGCCTTGGCCTCCCTAATGCCCTGGGTCTCCACTTCCTCTCTGGAAAGGTCAGCTTTCTGGCACATTCTATGAATGCAGGACTCCCCACTGAAGTCTCTGCACTGCAGGTGTGGGTGTTTGTCAACAGGATAGGCACCTGCGACCTCTGGGACATCAGGGCCCTGACCTTGCTCAGTAGCCGATGTCATCTGTCCCTCTGAGGGAAGTCATCTGTCCCTCTGAGGGACACAGGGCTGGGTGGCCGGTGGCTTTCTGCCACGGGGTGCTGGGCCACGCTGAGGCTCAGCCCGGGGTTGGGTGCTGTGGGCCCCACCTGGTCAGGGGACAGAGTAGCCAGCTGCGCCTACAGGGCCGGAGAGCGGAGCCCTGGTCCCCACATCCAGGACATGTGCTTGGGAGCCGGGTTTCTCTCTGCCCCTCCTGGCTTCTGCAGGCTGTTGGTGGGAGAACAGGAGACGTCTGGGGAGCACGCAGGCCTCTCGGTGGATGGAATCAAAGACCAGAACAAGGGTCTGGAGTGGTCAACACAGTGACTGAGCGTCATTGCATGGCTCAGGGGAGCTCAGGTGCCATCTCCCTGTCTCCCATCCCGTGCACGAAGGGAGTTCTCTAAAAATGCCATGTCTCTGGAACGAGAATAGCCCCTGCTTGGCCGCTGACATCTCAGGCCGGACTTGCGTCTTTTCTGAGCATTTTAGTCCGCTTTGGAGTTGCCTCAGTTCTAGCCATTGTGTGAGATTCTGAGACCTGAAATCAGGAGAAGCGCCCTGGTGCTGGAGGTGACCTTGTCGCGCGTGTGCAGCCTGGCCCCGGAGGGCACGGGACGCGAGGCTGGCCTCCGTGTGCGCTCAGCATGCGTGGCTCACAGAGTGGAATTAAAGCCGGGTCTCCGGTTGCCATGGCAACTAGCTGTCTTTCTCCCCTCTCCGCGGTGTCAGTTTGAATTTGTGTAGACCATTTCTAACAAAGATTTATGCCAACAAATTCATTCAGCCCTGAGGTGAAGCCTAGTTTGAGAAGCAAATAATAAAATTAACAAAACTTAGAATGTTCCGACGAGGCCCTTCCATTTGTAACGTGCTTGTCAGGGCCCCAGGAGAAGCCAGACCCCGGTCCAAGGCCACGGGGAGGTCAATGAGGTATTTTGTGCAGCTTCTCATTGGCCATTTGCGGCAAATGGACAACTTTAGGTGTTTTGGGGCCCCTTCAGAATGAGGGTCTCAGAGGGGTTTCACCTGAAAGGCTTTGCCTGGGGCCTGTGTGCGCATGTCCCTGCTGGCTCTCCAGGCACGTCAAGGCTCATGGGTCACGGGCCTGGGCCCTCTTGGTCAGGGCTGAGTGGGCCTCCCATGGGCTCTGCAGGCCACAGGGTCAGGCTGGGCATGGGGCGGAGTGGTGACTGCATGGTGAGTGCCCAGTGTTCGTCCCGGGTGCTTTGTGGCCTGGCCCGCCTTCTGTGACCTTCAGGGCCCATCAGAAGGGCCACTCTGAGGAGACACTTGAAGGGAGAGGACGAGAGTGGGCCACACAAGAAAACACCCTGAAAGTTAAGATTGTCCCCATTTCTCCTTTGTTCTTTCTGGCCTTTCCCAAGTGGTTAGTCCGTTTTTATTCCCTTCCTCCCACAAATCACATTTTCTCTTCTCCTTCTTAGTCCTCAGACCCTCCTGGAGCCCAGATCCCTGGCTCTGTCCTTCAGGGGAGGCGTTAAATGAATATCAGGGGACGGTGAGGGGCCGCAGGTGCGTGAGCAGGGTGGGTGATGGGAGCGGGTGTGTAAGGGGCCCATCTTGTGGGGTGGGGGTAGGGATCTTGGACCACTTGCCTCCTCCTCGGGCCTCTTCTGAGCAGGATCCTGAGGGGTGCGGGGTGGGCTGGGGCCCCAGTGTCCACCACCCAAGGATGGGGCTGAAGGAGTGGTGTCCAGTCCTAACTAAGTAAGGATGGAGGGAGACCAGCTGCTCGGGAGCTGTCCACGGTGCTGCCCAGAACCCTGCTGCTCTCACCCACCAGCTGGACACGCCCTCCCTCCAGCGGGGGCCTCCCGGCTCCATCATCTCACCCCGTCTCACCCATGTGGCCCAGCCTGGGCTGGCCCATCAGACAGGGTCTGGCTCAAATGCTTCCGCTGTCCTTGCCGCTGCCAGTCGGTTGCCTCCTGCCTGGTTCCTGCCAAGGCTTCTGGCATTTGGGCCAAAGCAATTTTACCAAATTAGATGTGGTCCGAAGCAAGTGGCTCCACCTGGCAGTTTTGTAAGAGAATGCTTTGTTTGAAATTTAGCATTCCCAGGTCACCGGGTTTCTGGCATCAGCACCTCCAGCACAGCACCCTTCACATCGCACGACGCTTCTTCCCTCTTCAAAATATCCTTGCGCCTAAAAAAAAAAAAAAAATCCATATGTTAAGTTTCTAATCATGTTTCTCATTGTTATTCTGGCTTTGAGCTGTTGGAACAACAGGGGTTTGCAACATGGTAACCTCTAACATAGGGACAGTCGGAGGAGCTCCCACCATCACCTGGCGACTGGTCCACACTTCACAGCAAGTAGGCCAGCAGATGCTTGTGCAAGCCCTTTACACGTGCATGTGAGTATGAGCAAGAGTGTGTGTGACAGTGGGCAACAGCGCACATATACATGTGTGAGTGTGATCATGTGTGCACATGTATGTGCACACATGCGCACACAGGTGTAATTATGTGTGTGTGTAGACATAAATGTATACACATACATGAATGTACATGTGTGCATGTGACCATGTGTGTGCACATGTGCACTGAGACCACCTAGAGGAGGAGGGAGTTGGGCTGGTGCCCGACCGGGGCAGGATCATGGATTTTGGTCACCCTATTTTTCTGTCTCCATCTTTTCAGATCTCTCTTCCTAGACCAGCCATGGGCAAACTATGGCCTGCGGGCCAGATCTGGCCCGTTTGAAATGAATAAAACTAAAAAAAAAAAAAGACCGTACCCTTTTATGTAATGATGTTTACTTTGAATTTATATTAGTTCACACAAACACTCCATCCATGCTTTTGTTCCGGCCCTCCGGTCCAGTTTAAGAACCCATTGTGGCCCTCGAGTCAAAAAGTTTGCCCACCCCTGTCCTAGACTATGTATTGTTTCCTTGTGAAGAAAACCCCCAATAAAACCAGTTTAAAAAATAACAAACAATATGAAATGTTTATAGTTGTGGCATTAGTTTTTTTTTTATTAGTAGTGGTTATTTGCTTGCTCCACTATTTGCCTACATTAAAAGGCAAGATAAGAAAAATCACTAAAATTAAATGCAAAAAAAAAAATCAAGAAACAAAAAAAGTGAACTATTTTGAAAAACAGAAACAAAAGGAGAAAAAGCCTTGAATTCTGAAAAAGAATCACAACTTGTGACCATCAGTGAGCATTTTCTAAATCCCTCTTTACCCAACTCGCCCTGGAAAGAACAGTGAGTGGACGTTCCCCGATGGCCTGCATGTGTGGGGGGCGAGCTGCGTTGTGAAGTGAATGAGGATCTGAGCTTTCAGACATTCTAGACTAGATAAACAGTGCGTGGATGTCCCGCCTGTCTGGGGGGCTGGGCCGTGTGAGGCACATGGCCCGGTGGGGAGGTGGTGACGACAAGCCTGCCCCTCAGAGGCCGTCTGTAATGCGCACATGCACAGTGACATCTGCGGGGACGACAGTGCGTGAAGATGGTGGCAGGGCTGGGGCGCCATCCCAGGAGGACAGAGGCCCCACTACACATG